AAATATGTTCACATAACGTTACTTCATGACTCACGATTTTATTATGCCCAATTAACCAGTGCATAGCAGAATATTGCAGAAAAACTATTTGTGTGACAAACGAGGCGCTATCAGCACTGTTTTGAGTCGAAAAACACTTTCACCGTTTTTATATCTTAAATCACTGTCCAAAGTTTTAGGGAAGGCCCCTGATTAAAAGAAGGGCTGCCATGTTGCTGTGCTTGGGGATAGATTTGATTGAACGGGAAGAATAGACACACTCCCTCAAAAGCGCAAGTATCAGAAACTAATCCAGCAATGGCCAGAGAGGGATTTCTCGGGCCATTACTTCAGGAATATGCAAATTACCTGGAATTGTATTTTTATTATTATTATTGAATGCAGGGGCGTACACATAGATTTTGTTGTTGTTTGTTGTTGGGTTGTTTTTTTGGGGGGGGGAGGAGGCAAAAAAAGACCGACTGATGCACACTGACACAGGTCCCTAAATGTACGATTAGTATGACGCAACCGGGGGGTGGGGGGTCCGGGGCGGAGACCTGGATTTTACATCCCAGTAAGCATCACAACATCGATATGATGTTGATAAAATGTTAAATCATAATGTTGAGACATAGTGAATTATGGGTGTACGTTGTCTGTCCCACCTCTTTAAAAATTGTTAAAAAGTTGGAAAAAGAAAGACAGATAGTCATTACCACAGAAAGCATGTAGGCCAAGAGGTTCTTGACACTTCAATACTAATCTTGATTGGATAAAAAAAAATTATATCAAGATTAGTACTGAAAGAGTCGAGAATATCCTAGAACTGAAATCAAACCACTAGGACACCAAAACAGCTTACCTACTCCTCGTCGCATTGCAAATTAATGGAGGCGCTGATACAAATTCTATTTTGCGTTCTTGCTCGGGAGAAAGAGACATCTCAATCATCCTCCTCGCAAACAATGATCCAAATATACACATTCTGATATGATAATGAAACGGGCCACGGTACAAAATATCGCGGAAGGCGTCATACATCAGTAGATGACGCTAGAAGAAAGAATTTCTGGGTGAAAAAATAACAGACCTTTCTTTATTACCACCTTGCCGTAGTGGTATTTTGCTGCATAGATGGAATGGAGATTTATAATGTGAATTGGTATCTGAAGCATATGCAAAGGATATAATTATGCAAGCTGTAGTTGTCAGCAACCAAGAAGATATTTATCCCGCTCATATTATGACCCCTGATTTTGAAACTTCTGATGAAGACTAAGAATAAACTAATATCTAAACATGTCTCTGGTTTATTTTTTATGTACCTTTCCAGATCTCTTGAAAAGTACCGTTATAATTTAATATATTGAATGACGAAATAGGTACTGAACGAAAAGGCTAACGAGAAACCACCTTTAAACTTGTAAGGTCAATTTTGAACCAAATGATTTCTGTCCACAAATACATATGTTGCCCCCGCCCCCTTCAGGCGCCCACCCCTACACAATGGGAATCTTATAAACATATTTACCGATGTTTCATCAAGCTCTAAGAAAATCATCATTTAAATCGACGTGAGCTCATTTCCCGCCAATTCCCCCCCCCCACCTCCACACAGGTAAACCTGCACCCACCCACCCCACCTCGCCACAAATCAAACAGCACTTATTTAGAGATGGGCAGTCCTAGAAATTTATGTTTTATTAATATATAACATGGTCATCATTTATGTCAACATAATCACATTTTCCCCCAATTGTAGACATTTGACCCCCATTGTATCTCGAAAACGCCCCCTCAATCCAAATGCATGATCATCACCCAGATTCGGAATCTTCGCAAAAAAACTGGTCTAGAAAAACTTGGTCTCATAAATTCACAGCTCGGGTGGCGACCCCCCCCCCCTTCAACCACCGAACTACAACTGATTACGGGATATTACAACCCACCGCTGGAAGGTCAAAATATGCTATTATACCTCTATGGAAATACTTACAATCTGATAAACGTATGCTGAATAATCATACTCTTTATAGATCTTATAAATAATGGAAATAAGATATACGTGGCATGTAGGCTAATATACCAAAATTTACAAAATGTGATTCTAAATATTATGGTTAATAAATTAAAATGAATAATACAACATGATAATTACTAGGAATGATTATATATGTATACGATTACTTATCGTTGCTGTGGAATAATGAAAATAAAATAAATCGGGTTCACCACATGTGACATTGAATCAACATAGCTTTCTCAAGAGTGTTGGGCCAATACCTTTTCGCTGTGGTTACCCGTGACTAGAAACAACAGTCGGTGCTCCTAACCTACATTGAATAAATATTGCATTGTCCACATTGAGAATAATTGTTACACTAACAAAGTGACAACATTGATTCAATATGTAAAATCAACTGCAGTTGAAATGTTGGATTTCGGTCGAAATAAAACTGACAACATTGTTCTCATTTTTAACCAAATAAAAAAAACCCAACAAAATACGCGAAATCACAAATTTGACGATGTAGATTCGTGGTTGAATTGTTAATCATTGGATCAATGTTTTCGGTTCAATCACAAACGGAACCCAAGATAAAAAAAAAGGTTGAAATGATAACATAAATAGGCTAATATCACATTGTATTACTATAAAAGCAGATGATTGGAATGATAACATAAATATGACATTGTTTCATTATAGTGAGAGTGAGAAATAGGGCTTAACGTCCACTCGAAATAAACTAAGTCATTTCTGGACTAACAAATGTTTCCATTCTATTTTTCAATAATTCGCTTGCGCGTAGGGGTCTTTAGCAGTGGGAGGAAACCGCAGGACCCGGTGCGCGCGCTGTATCATAAAGTCTGTCATTGAGTCGACTGGCGTGGTTTCGAAACCCCGGTTGTACGTGACAAGGAGTAGGGTCGCCTGTCCAACCTTGTGGGTTTTCTCCGGGTCCTCCAGTTTCCTCCCACTGCTAAAGACCCCTACGCGCAAGCGAATTATTGAAATAGAATTTTTAAAAAAAACATATGTTGGTCCCAAAATGACCTAGTTTGTGTCGAGTGGACGTTAAACCCCATTTCTCTCTCTCTCACGAGGTTGGACAGGCGACCCTACTCCTTGTCACGTACAACCGCTGGAATCGAAACCACGCCAGTTGACTCAATGACAGACCTTATGATACAGCGCACACGCGCTAACCATTCGGCCATCCAACAATCCTCCCCTCGTTTCATTATAGAAGCCTGATGATTGAAATGATAACATGAACTGAATATGACATTGTTTTAATATAGAAACCCGATGATTGTTATTAATAGCATTGAATCAATGTAGATTCGTTTTGGTCGGGTGTTTACTGGGATGAGTAAAATTGGGTACTACGCATGGGAATTCATGCTATTTATTTATTAAGAATTTTGCCAGAACGTACAAAGTACTGTGAATCTATGACAACTTCTGAAAGTGATAATAATTACATCAATGACATGGACTTATGTCCTCATATTTTCATCAAGTGTCCGCACTTCGTCAAGTTTGACCACCGATCGGCGATTTTGTCAAGATCGATCGTGTCCGTCAGGTACGTCACGCTCACACACAAGGGCCATTAGTTCAATCTGATTGGTCATTAATGAGGCGTTCCTGTTTTATTACCGAACGCTTTTAAAACAGTTTTTACTGAACGCTTTTAAAACAGTTTTTACTGAACGCTTTTAAAACAGTTTTTACTAATTTGAGCTTTAAAAAAACTGGCGCGTATTGTGTTATCCAATCAAAGCAATCATGCTCATAGGTATTCATAGGGCCTAGATATGTAATAAGTAATTGGGATTTTTCCCTTCTATATTGGCATTGTCTGTTTACCTCATTAATTCATTTAGTCGCCGTTGCATGATTTTGAGACCGACTTACTGCAGTCACTGCACTTATTTTGTGACCGACTATTTTAATCCCTTCAAGTGCCTGTGTTCTTGACCAGTGTCCAGGCTTAGTCTACTGTTTGGCTTCTTCGGATAGGTACAAATAAAAACACTTCAGGTACTGTAATGCTTTCTGTTTGTTTATTTATACATAGGTAAAACTGCAGTTATAATGTAAACAGCAGTTATAATAACACATGACACAATTATATGGAATACAAGTTACTTAAAGGATTTATTTCAGCGACGTTTCGATGAGGGTTCTCCCGTCTTTATCAAGCTAAGAACGGCAACCATAGTACAAATAGTAACTTGTATTCCATATAATTGTGTCATGTGTTATTCTCATTCAGTTACTAAATGCCACTCAAACAATTTAGCAGTTATAATGTCAACAGTTATGAAGAACGAACGTCACATTATTATATAAATATCCGCGGTCTATTTTTAGATGCCCATTTCGAATTCAACTGCCAAGTGTTCTTTTACGGTCACGAACACGTGTACACGGGACCTCGGTTGTCCGTCCTATCCCAAAGATTAGGCACCGTCATAGGCGTAGGAGCTCAAAGTAATTCAGGGGGGGGGGGGGGCATAAGAGAAAATTGCCCGAAATCAATACCGTTTTTTCGGGCATACATATCATAAGAGAGCTTCGGGTATATTTTCGGGCATGCAGTGGACAAGAAAAAGACGAGAAAATACTTTTCGGGCAGTGTGGATCTCATAGAAATAAGTTAGTTATATTTTTTCTCTAAACGTTAATAGAAAAAAAAAGGTCGTCGAATTTTTCATTGCCCGAAAATAAATTTGCCCCCTCTCCCCGGCTCCTACGCCTATGGACACCGTTCCTAATGAGACCCCCTGTCCTGCACCACTAACAAGCCGAGAAACTTTCGCGGCCAACGCCGGGGTCGAACCTTGGACCATTGGTTTCCAAAATCTATGAAAATACGATAAAATGGTTGGCTTTTGGGGATTATCTTTTGCAATATAGGTTAGAAGCTATGGGTATAAGGAAATAATCGGATACTTCCGGCCATTGCAGTCGACCATCTTTAATGAGATAACTAAAGTATAAATCAGTGGTCCAATATTTTTATTTCTCAAGTAAAAAATAACTTGTATAAATAAATCTATCAAAAATTATAAAAATTAAAATATGAGAAATGGGTTGTCGCATCTATAAATGTTAATACAGTATTTATCTTCTGGAGTTTCAGATCGGAAGTTACCTGATTACTATCCATTGGTAATTAAAACGAACCTTTAGATTTGAAAATTTCAGACCTCACCATTTTAAAACACCATTATTATATACGTACAAAGGCGGATCTAGTGAGCCCCCCCCCCCCACACACACACCCATATTATATGGATTTCTGACTAAAAAAACTCCCATTATAATTCCATATTTTAGAACCGAAGTCTTGTCCAACTGGACCCCTCGTTGCGCGCTATCTATGGTCTCTGGATCCGTCCTTGTATTTAAATCGTGGTATTATTCATGTGCAAATATCTAATACTTTCCATGTCTATATATATATATATATCCTTGTTATTATCAATTAAGTCACTTATACAAATGAACGGCTCAATATTTATATTTAAGGGTAGGCAAATGTGCTATTTTGTCAGATATTGACGTTGATTTGCATACTTTACTATGTGTATTTATATAATATTAAACAATAAAATAAATAATGTAAGGGGGCTGAAAAACGTCAAAGGTTAAATGTGAACTCTATAATGTTAAGACGTAGTGTTATTTTATATTCATAGCTCAGTGACATTTTTAAATATACATAATACGGTCATTATCACTTGTACCAAGATTTTATAACTTTATATTCTGCACGATTACCTAAAAAGAATATGTGCTACTCGTAAATATTGACGCCCCGAACGTCCGCTGGCAGCAATGGATGAGTTCACTGGTCAAGAATTTTGCACACTCTATAATTTAAATACTTGTATTTCCTAATTTCTATTAGCAAAGAATGATTTGTGAGGGACAATTACTTTTTATTACATTACTGCACTTAATGCATGCATGGTTCCACGTCATAATAGCAAGGTTACAAAAATAGAGAAATGCAATTTGAGACACTTTTAGTCATTGAAAGAACAATCACTAATTACAGTTACAAATAATATACACAAACTTATTACAACAAATGCAATTACTTATTACAAATAATATTCCAACTTTACGACTAATACAATGATCATACACACTGTATATAATTAATCATGCAAAATCAACATTTCATTTCCTCTGGTTATCTATTTTCTTTCTTCAAATTTAAACATAGGTTTCTGAACAAACGATCCAAAAGTTTCGTAAATCATATTTGGTGGATTTGATGTGTCATCCATCAGACTAACTTTAAAGTTCTGCACAATCTGAAAAATATATAATACAACGCATAATACAAATGACAGAAGGCCCTGGGGCTTTAATCGCCTATCGATTAAGTCTACGTGTAAAAATATGAACGATTATAAAAGACAACGGACCAATGTTTCAATACATACTGTAAAAAGACCAAAGGTCACACAACTTGATTTGAGAAGATCTTGAATAATCTCACAATCAGCCATTAATTCCAAATCTTAGCAATCTATATTAAAGTATTTCATTTGACCAATTATGTATACAACCTTACCTTGGTGATTGCTATGTAAATTTCTTGTTCAGCAAATCTCCTGCCAATACAGTTTCTAACTCCAACACTGAATGGTATTAAACCTATACTTGGAATAGGATCTGCTCTAGCACCTTTATCATCCCGTAACCATCTTTCTGGTCGATAAACTGTAGGATTTGTTACATATTTTGGATTCATCAATAACTTTCGATTACCCATACCAATTAACGTCTGCAATTATTATATATTAAAGATACTGTCTGTGATATAATGGATCTTATAATAAGTTAGTATCCGACGTTTTAATGGACACAATATTATACCGATAATAGTACATTATAAAGTAAATTATCAGTTTATTAACCGTTGCAAAATTCTGTGGTAGAAAGTAGACTTTCTCCAGTAGGAACAGGACCATTGTCTACCGAAAAACCCAATACAGTTCTCTCGATATTTCATCACTCTCCTAATATCAATTAAACGGATTGAAATGAGCTATTGTTACAAACGATGTCTTGTTTTCACGGAACTTACCCCTTTTGGTATATGGTAACCGCTAAGTATAATATCAACTGGTAAAAATCTAGCTGCTCCGCTAGCTAAAGGATAATACATTCTGTAAAAGATAAATATATCCTGAATGAAATACACACCTGTTCTTAAATCACATTACCTCTACTATTTTACCAGCGAACCCTGGTTCTTGTTAATGTATATACATAAGCCCTTTGAAATTTTACTGAAATTTTACGTCCGCAGATAAAGCCGATGTTACGATATAACCGACTTTGTGTTTAACAGTTGATCGTTACGCCAAAAATGACAATAAAATTTTTAATTAAAACGACTTCGCTTAATCTTTCTAAATCCAATTAATTAGAGAGTTTGTATCATCACTAAAAGGAAAGGCAATCGACCAATCGAATATAACTCCTTCAATAAATTGTTCATTCAAATGTGACATTTATAAAGATCAACATCTTTTATGAATACCCATATACCCTAAAATATATACATATGTATACATATTCCCTTCACAACTAATAAATTTATTCTCAACGAGTAGTACTAGTCTTATCGCCCATCCCTTAGGTGTTGATTATAAATGAACTGGCCAATGCACCCCGGCCAATGTCGAACTGTTTAAAACCTTGTTATTCACATATACTGTCGACTATTGAATGATCTACCTGAAGGATTCCTTTAAACAAGCTGTTAAATACTTCATATCTGGAAGGTTGTCAGCTGTCAAGTCACCATGACGACCCATGTACTTAAGTATCTCCTGCTGAAGATTATCCTGTTTTTCAGGATGACGAGCTAAACAATACAGGAATATCTCCAATGTTTTGGCAGTCTGGAAAGATTAATATGTAAATTGTATTTATTTTTTCTTGCACACACTCCAAGGATCATTAATATTTTGTACAATCTATGCCTTTTTGTAAGGCAGAAATAAAAACTTCACATTTATATGAAACAGTCATTATGCAGGAGCTAAATCTGCCCATTGTTGGTCCTTCTTATTTAAACTTTTAATTATTAGACATATATTAACATGACAAGATCATAATCAACTCTCGATTTTAAGTAGATTAACACGGTTCGGCCATTTAAAGATTTAATTTAAAAATGGTGAAGCGAGCTTAAGCCTCGAACAACCAGTAAGTACGATGCACGTACGATGCACACATCTTGTCAAACCTTTAAACGCTAATATTTTCGCTCAGAATAAAGTAATTTGAATGAATATTATTCATTTTGAATTATCTAGTTTTAAACTATTATAGCAAGAACGACCAGCTCTTTATCTGAATCTTACATAATGTTTCTATAACCAAGAGAATGTAAACATGAATACATCCTAAACAAATATGTCCTAAGCAATGGTAGAGAACATTATCGGTTCGTCATCATTGTTCCCGAACTATGAAGAAACATAAAACATAGATATCCAGCTCTCGAATTCATGGGTCACGACTTACAGAATCAGTTCCGCCAACCAGCAGATCAAGAACCAGACTTGTAACCTGTTCTATGGAAAGCTTTTCTTCAGCTAACAAAGACATTAGAAAATTGGGTTCTTCTGGATTCCAAGTTCCATCTTTTTTCATTTGAAGCGATTTTTCTAGAGCATCTTCAATTTGTACTTTACCAAATCTGCAATATTTTAACACTCTAAGCAATATAATTTATCGGTAATTTTAGTGCATTTGTTCAATACATTACCCAGCTGTTGGGGCACAAAACTTAGACCTACTTTTACGTTATTACCACATTGATGTTAAGATCATTAAATATCCGAATAGCCATCGGTTTGCAAGAACGAACGACACTCTTAGTTGAAAACGAATACGCGGTATAGGTGTTCCTGGAAGAGTAACCATAAACTGTCTGGTACAAGACACCCTCATAACAATCTGATTAAAATCAGATATTTTTCGATTGCTTTTACCTTACACCGGGTGGGTTTTTAATCATTGTGTCGTGTTGTTACTTGTGAACTGTCAATAGCCAATGAAAACACAAATGTTCCAATTATGCCAGGATATCGCCCGTTGATTTATTCGTAAAGGTACTTATGTGGTTGCAATGTAGAATATAAACCACCAAATTTTTAGTTAGATTCCTTCACTACTGGTTCAAAACTCATATTGTATGAGATATTACCAAACACAATGAATAACAGATCAATGGTGGTCAATTTGAATTATATGAACTTGATTATCATCTCAAAAGAAATACTTATAAATGTTTTACCCATATGTTTTATCGGCAGCGTGTTTGAATTTTTTATATAGCGGTGTCTCAAAATATTTGAAAAACGGAAAATCCACAGTTCCCTTGTTGATATGGGTGAAAAATATTTTAGAGTTGTCAAGGTACTCTTTCGTGTCCATTGTCACAGCCCCTTCCAAAATACCCAACCGCTTATTAAAACACACAACAGCTATACCTGAAACAAAAGTTGTAAAGAAAACAGTGAGTTAATTCTAATGAAATTATTGACTATAAAATATATTTGATTAAATTCCGAGTTTGTCATGGCAGTTTAACTGTCCAAACGTCAAATGAAATGGAATGAGGTTTAACGCCCTGTTGTTCTGCTCCGACTGGACTAATGAAAACGGATATACGCCATACAGTGTGCTATGAGGGAAATTTTGCCCTACTCTTATTTCGAATTCCAACCGTTATGGGTTCTTTCACGTACACGCCAATGTGCACATGGGACCTCGGTTTGTTGTCATATCCGAACGACGCAGACGTCAAATGACGCTTTTTTAAAAAGGTTTTAGGGTTAATGATGTTGTGAATGTATTTTTTCACATGCCAGAATCAACCAATTTGATTAATAGTGAGAATAAAATATTTTTATTATGGAATGCTCACTATATTTTACTTACTTTCAGTGGCGTATAAAAATAACAATTCTCTAACATCATCTGGATCAATCGAACGTAATTTATCCACTAAATCATTAGCTACCTCTGATTGACTTTCAATATAGTGTAGGGCAGATTTTGGTCGAACCAATTTTTTCTGTACCTGAGTTCGTAGTTCAGCCCATTTTTCACCATTCCTGAAATAGGTAAGATTAAATAAAGTTTAAAAAAAATAGATAATGAAAAGAGAATTTCAGTCAAGTTACTTCACTCTGAGTCTAGATATCTGCGATACAATTATCGTCTAGTCTCGATTGTCATTACTACCGTTGTTACGACAATAAACAGTCTCAATTATCTATCTTTACGGTAACCGCATCGACCACAAAGTGTATTTAAAGCTACTTATATCGCATGGCATCGAGAGTTGATTATGGGCTTGGTAAGTTGATTAACGTCTAATTAATAATTTATATGCAACTTCATGCCAAAAAAAAGATCAGCAATAGGCAGATTTAGCTCTTGCATAATGCCTATTTAACTAAAAAAAAAGTGTCCATTTTAGATAACATATTATAGTAATGGTAGATGTAACGTCTTTGATTAGAATGACTTTAAAAATTTCTTGATATTATTACGTGTATTAATTTGATGTCGGGTGAATCAGAACTGTTTTAAGGAGAAAATTAACCGACTTACAGAACGGCCAGATTCTTGGCTTTCTTGGTTCTTTCAATATAGACTTCAAAAAGATCAAATCCAGGCCTCTTTGGATATTTGCCTTCACTTTTATAGATGAGTTCTATGTCTTGTGGGTCACTGGTAAGAACGATACCATTGCCAAGATTTAATCTAACAATTGGACCATATTTATCGAACAGCATATCGGTCAACTCGTGAAATCGTACCAAATTATACTTGGCTAAAAATACAAGTTATCATTTATAAACACAATAGAGATATTTAAAATGTTTTATTAAAGCGGCATCAAGTAAGATTAAATAAAGAGCTGTCAGTTAGCGCTAAAATAGTTAAGAAAAGTTCAGTCAAATTACTTCACTCTGAGTCAAGCTATCGGCCTTACAATTTTTCTAGCCTCAATTGTCATTACTACCGTTGTAACGATACTAAACAAAGTCTCGATTATCCATTTTTACGGTTATTTCATCAAGCACAAAACGTATTCAAATCTACTAAATATCGGAGCCATCCAATGGCATCGAGAGTTGATTATGGTCTTGGTAAGTTAATTAATGCCTGTTTAATTTTCAACGAATAGTTCTCCATCCAAGCAAAATATTAGAATGACAGTATGAATTTGTAATAATCAATAAAAGAAAATATGTATGCCCATTTTGCATACTAGACGCAAAATAAAGTTTAATAAAATATTTATTTTACAAAATGTCAAGCAATGTTTTTGAGTCCGTCCTTATGTATAGACAAAAATGGGTGTGTGCCACCTGTAGAAAACGCGAAATTCGAGTAGAGAATGTAGCAATTATGCACATTCGTTAATCAATTCACAATTTAAAACAATAATGCTTACTAAAAGGTTGAAATAAAAACATTCCACCAATCTTGGGTATATTATAGATTCCAGTTGGTCCTGGTATTTCACTATATGGTTTAGGATTAACATTACTGTTATCTACACGGGGGAGTGACGTAGCTGTTGCAGTAGAACGATGTCTGAATTGTAACTTTGTGTTGTATCTGTATAGACGCAATAATTTGGTCGTATTCATCTTGCTATAATAAAAATGTTATCAAATGATTATATTGTCATTTCTATGTTATTTTATTTTCTAGACAGATACCCGGTTTGGCCCGGGGCCCAAATTGAATCGAATCATGGCCTTAAACATCCACGGGGTCATGCTAGTTAATTTGACGAAGCGTGATGGGCAAACATACATACATACACACACAAGGGGACATCTTTGATTTCATTTATATAAACAAATACAAGCCTACGATAACAGCGTAAAATAAAGACATTGTCCTTACTTCTCTCTCTGGTATAAGTTTCGCCCAATTGGGAGTCTATGGAGTGTAGAATTTAAGGAAATTTTATAGTAAAATGCTGTCAAAACTGCGGAATTTTGGTGTCACCGCGCCATAGATAACAAACCTCATCTCTCAACCCTCCGTTTTTCGAGATAAGAGATGGTGCTATATAGTTCCACGGAGCAAAGCCCCACCCAAATCACATCGGGTATTAGTAAGCAAACTTGACAACATTGGCCCTTGTAAGGTTAATTAGTCATAATAGTATAAAATTATCTTATTTTTGAGATGTTACACATGATTTAATAAAGAAATTGAGTTTGCCACTTGGAACTAAAAGCACTCAATCGTAGCTGAAAACAAGCACATCAGTATATCTCAACGTTTTTAGCTACGTTCTCGTAGCTAACCGCGCCATTGCTCTATCTAAACAATACGTTTGAGAAAAGAGTTAGAACGTTTTCTATACGTTCAAACGAATATAAATCTCAGATAGATAGGTTAATAATTACATGAATGGGCTTCTTCTTTTCAATAGGATAGACCGGCTTGTATATATATAAGACAACATACATTATCATAACAGTACAGTACTATGTTTTATATATCCTCGGTGGTGTGAAATCAAAGGAAATTAACGCAAAGTGGGTGATAAACATTACTATAGTACAGGACGTGGCCAGCGGAAGGGGGTGGGGACAATGCCCCCTAAACGAAAGTTGCCGACCATAGCTCTAAAATACCTACGTACTGTAGACTGTGCCCCCCCCCCCCTAAGTGCCTGCTATATTCACTTCAATGACAAAGATTATACTAATTTTGGATGGACGGGTTTTGGGAAAGGGAAATTTTAGGTTTAAGACATGACTTTTATTCTGGTTAATTGTTCCTTTGATCGGCTGTTTACTTGATACACTGTGGGGTGGAGTTTCCGCTGGGCAGTACGTCGTGACCGTGTTGTGATTAGAGGAAAAGGAATGAATGAATGACATAGGGTTTAACGTCGTACTGTTCTGATCCGACTGGGCTAATGAAGAAATGGGAACACACTTTTAATATGGATTATACAAGTCGTCTGAAACAACAGTCAGTTGTCCAGCATAACCCCATGGGTCGTGCTTTATCTTACAGATGGGCCGTCATAAAAGAACAAAAAATAGTAGGCATTATTTTCAGGTGTAAGTTTCGTCAGGATAAAGCATAAACCGAGTTGGTACTTTGTCTCACATACGAACCGTCACAAAACAAAAGGAGAAAAAAATCAGTTGTGACTTATCAATTTGAACGGGTCATTATGTAGAACACTTATACCATAGCGGGTAAACAAACATATAGGGTTAACCATTATAACCTCTAAAGATAAATGTGCCTTGACGATATTTTCCCAAAACATTATTAATACTCTAGGGTTTAAATCGATCTACTCTATATTACTGAGTTAGTAGCATAATTCACATAGACATATTTTAATACGTACCTTACGTTTACATGTGAATTTCACTTGTTACTTAACCTTAAAGAATGTTGATTAAGTCGAATTTAGTAAATAGTAAACCCAAATCCCAGATATCGGACGTTGTTAGATGCGGATATAGGATACAGTACAGTTGTCGTTGTCTACATGTACACACTTAAGGACCGTACATGCTATAATAAATGGTTAGTTTTGTACAATGTGTTAATTACTAGTACCGGACGTACTTCACCCTCGATTGTTTTGTACAAAGTGTTAATTACTAGTACGAAGCGTACTTCACCTCTCTGGTTATTTATTGCACAATACGTACAAAATACTTTTACATAGATAATAATATATTGGTGTCTGTCAATCTTGCTGACAATAGTGATGTCTGGATGACAGAGCCTATGTTTATTGTCAGATAGGTTCATATTTTTCCAACCTCTTCACAAATAATATCCCAACTATATTAGAAGAAAATAATATAGATGCAAAGATTACAATCTCTTGAACCAAAATCAAAACAATTCAAAGCTTAATGAAACTATCACAGCCAATGAAGTGCTTTCAGATTTTAAAAAAAAATTAACTTCACGCGAATATGATTGGTCTTATACGGTACATGAAACTTTTTAATTTAATTCTTATTTCCTGAATCCTGGACATAACCAAACAGTGTGCCTATTCATTTTAAAAAGACGACAAAGCAAATGTGAACAACTATATGAACTTATACTTAAATAAACCTAAATGTAAGTAAGCAAAATAACCTCTTCCTTTGTTTTACTGATTTTTCAAAAGCTTTCGACACCATCTAGCGAAAAGTCATGTTTTTCAAACTATTAAAACTGGCAATGTATTTAAAATGATAATTTCTATCTACCAGAAAACAACTTACTGTGTAAAAACACACCTTACTGTATAAAAGCTCCCGGAGGGCAGTCGCAGGCTATAAATTCAAACATGGGGGTACAAAACAAGGATGTGTAATGAGTCCGGAACTATTTAATTTATATATTAATGGCCCACAAAATTACCTTAAAAATCCTATTAATGATGTCCCAACTCTTGATAACTGTAATATTTCCAATCTACTATTTGCAGACGATCTTATTATATCGTCCAATTCTGAATCAGGATTGCAAAATCAGCTAAATTAGCATAAACAGTTCTATGTTGCTTAGAAATTAGATGTGAACCCAGATAAAATTCAAAAGTTATGTTATTCATACACCACACAATCAATCTGGTTAAAACACAGATTCTATTTCGTTTCGTTTTTATAGTTCAAAATTTCGTTTTACTTGTCTTTACTACACTTGGATCATAGAGCTATAACTCTATGACTTGGGTCTGGAAGAGTTGTTATTTAACTCGTGTTCTGAATGGTGTTAGGGATAAGCCAATGAAACGGTCTGTTACGGTGAGCTTTAGGCGTGTTTTGCACGGAACTGTGGGTATTCCACTAGTAACATCAATGGTGATTGGTTTATCAAATGTCTGACGTCATTAGGTCATAAGTCGGTCTTTTGACCCTTGACGTGACCTATGGCTATAACTTGTCAGACCTTCATGTAGTGTAGGCCATCGAAAGTATAAAAAACGAAACGAAATATAGATCTGTATTTTAATCAGATTGATACACAATAAAAGAAAACTTAAAGTAGCTAAGTCTCTACCTCAATATCATTCAAAGTCTTACACGTTGAAAATACGAATTATTTGTCAATTCAAATCAACATTGATGTTATGATCTTACCAGGAAAAGGCAGACTTCTGATATCCAATATTTAATACAAAAAAAACCATTTTACCATTGGTACACGAATCGTGTACCATAGTGCGTTTTAGCGTCATTTGCAACAAGTGACCAGAAAGAACGAGGCTAGACATTATCAATTGGAGACACAGCTCAATAGACTGGAATTACAAGACGCTAGAAATTGCTATAGGGTTGAGACACATGCCGTATTTCGCTGGACATAACTGATTTGAAATTAGAGTCAAAACGGAAACATTTGAATGTAAATCAGTTTATATACAATCAGATTACATTATTATATGCGTTGCGACTCATTTGGGTCAATTTCTAGGTCCCAAATATTAGCGATTTAGCTCCTTTAAATTGAAATATTACTTTGGCAATCAATGTTTAGAAATAGTTAGCAGTATAAATATCTAGGGATAGGCTGATTAAGAAAAAAAAAACAATCAAGAAGGGCGTATAGTTTAGTGTCCGAAATAAAATATGCATTATTGATTCTTTACCAACTAAATACCTTGATATAATTATAGAACACCCATAGTTAAACAGATAGCCTTGTATGCCTCAGATGTATGGGGTGTCCGAAATAAAATATGCACTATTGATTCTATACCAACTAAATACCTTGATGAAATTATAGAACACCCATAGTTAAACAGATAGCCGTGTATGCCTCAGATGAATGGGGTGACAATTAATAAGCAAAAATCATTTGTTGAAAAAGAGGGGCCAAGTAAACTTGAACAAGATGTAAATAAAATTTTGTAATTCCATACTGGTCCAATCCTCCAAGACATCTAACATAGGGATAGGGTATCTTGTGGGATTGGGAATATTTTAGTTACATCTTGAGGCCAACCAACGAATTCTTACTTAAAATAAGAGACCAACCGATAACATTACTCTCCGTCTATCAGCAGCAACCTACAAAGAAGATGTACACATGTTTAATACTAACCCAAATTTTTTATGGAGCTTCTCATCAACTTTAATATCTAACCAATTCAAAACTGATAAAAGATTTTTAGGGACCACTTAGGACACCTAACAAATCTTTAGCGAATATATTTAATAGTCGTGACACCCAGTTGTGTAGTTTGCAAAACCAGACTATTTAAACTATTTTAAATCCAACCATTGATGGTGTGCCTGATTATCTTTTTTTTTTATATAAACATATTTTATTCACTATAAATGAATGGGAAATTGGGGAACAGGCAAAAGGCCTATGTCAGACCCCTATCCCTATTTACAATACAAATTATATACTAATAATGAAAAGCAGTATATACGATATATACAACCCTTACTTAGTTGAATACACCTAAAATATTATAGTATGTAATAATAATAATATTAATAATAATAATAACAACAACAATAATAGTTTAAAATCGTTTAGTTAAATTGAAGTATGATTGAACTGTTGTAAAGATAAGGTTATTAATTTCGTTTGTGGAGTCATGCAAGCCGTAGAGTAGAGTTTTGCTGTTCTTATACTCATCAGATAATGTAGAAAAGGTTTTTCGTTGAAAAGTATTGAAGTTTGGACAGTGTAAAAGATAGTGTTCGCTATCCTCGAAAAGGTGGCCACAATTGCAAGCTGGATTTTCAGAGATATGTCTAAAAAACAGGTGACCATTTAAGTCACTGCATGAAAGTCGTACTAGTTTGCTGTGGATAATTTCAGTTTTCCTAGAGCCAATGCAGAAATGTTTTGGGGGTTTTAGAGTCATGTTCGGAGAGCTTTAAAAAAAAGAAGAGAGACTTGTTGCACGTTTTAATGTGGTTAGAATGAAAGAGCACAAAATAGCTCTAACAAAACACTCGATTAAGCATTTATAATATAACCTTGAAATAGAGTCGAGAGGCAGGTGGGCTACAAAACATTCCAGTCGGGCATCGTCTTTGCCAAATGTGGTCATCTCAAGTCATAGAACTAGATGAGATCGAAGCATTTCTAATGAAATGCGGTAGCCTAAATGTGATAATCTACGCAACTCCTACTTATATACCCATCCCTTAATAATATGATTCAGACGAAAGTGAAGACGTCGTTGAATACACGGATTAAAATGCAGATATATCAAAATGGTGGTGTCCTAATACAGAGAATCTTTGGTCATGATGTTCCCAGTTACGACTCGTAATATCCGTCTGGATAAACAAGAAAAACGAAAGCATTTTGTGTATTTTCCTTATCCCGTATGTTTAAAAACTCCTATTGTCACTAATAATAATTAAACGGATAGCTTAAGTGTGACTGGTCCGTGTTTGTAACAGAATAATATTTTCCTTTAAAATGTATTTATTATTGAAGCAAAACGGTAGCCTCTGGGAAAGAAGCTAATATTCTTAGCCCTTTTCGGTTTGAGACCAACCAAAGAAAATCCAGGGCGTCACGTGACCTTTCACCGTGTACATTCGCGTCAAAACATAGTCCCGATATTAAATTCATTTCAAATTCCAAATATTGCATACAAAATATAAAAACGTGTCTGATTACTTTTAAGGAAAGGAATTGTATTTATATATTCCCCTAGATGTTTTAAAATAGGAAACTATTTTGAATAATAATGAACTGGCGTTATAATATCGTGAGAGGTTAAGTCGTGAATAGGTGAAAATTTACTCTTCAGATTTAGTCAAAGAATGGAAGATTGACAGCCAGAAACAATTTGATATTTCGATTATATACCCACTTGCTACTTCGCAATACGAATTTTAATATATCTGTTCAATTCACGTAGTTCATAGAATTGTAAAAGATTAAATCAAGGGGAAATTTGTTCCTGTAAGCGGATGGAGTGTCCTCATTTGGAGACATGCGTAAGAATATCTTCAGCGCCAGTGAAATGTGAAAATAATCCGCCCGAATTATGTTGTTCAGGTATAAAACGAATCTGTGTAAAATAATGTTAAATATTATAACGAATAGACAATATGTCAAGGACTTATATGTACATGTATTACAAATTTAATAGTGTATAACAAAGGGTTGAAAGAGAGGAAGGTCACAGTGAACCAAACAACCATGTGCGCATTGTTGGCTGTTGATTATAGGCCTAATAGGCCTAGAAGAAATGTCATTGTTGACATCACTGCCATACAAAGACTTCATTATTATTCTGTCATAAGCCCACTGTCTGCAATGCAATATATACTATAGACAGTAAACCCTAGTCTCAACCTGTCATAGACTGTATTTTGATCTGGTTTTCATATACATAATACAGTACAGAAATTTAAATGGTCATGAAATTTAAATAGTCATGACATCAATAAAATTTTCATTGACATTTGAGTTTGATTTTGATAGCCTAATGTGAGATTTAGATAAAGAGCTGACAATTCTTGCTATAATACTAATAATTTATATTATATAGTATTTCAGGTCAAAAGAAAGACCTGCAATAGGCAGATATATAGTAATTACATCAGAGTTTACTCTGTGAATTACATAATTCATCTTTAAAAATTTAATCCATATTAGTCAACACATTAATAACAAATAATTAATCGTTTTATATATTTTAGTTTGTTTGACGGGTAGTAGTCCATGGATTTGTCTTTCATGTGGAGTAATTAATTGTGGCAGGTAGGTGCCTCAGTTTGTGATTGTATAAAGGGAAGAAGCTAAATATCAGAAACGGTCCACCACTCACATTAGTTGTTTTGCATGTTAACCGATATAGATTGAGTTTAGTCTAATTATTGAAAATAAATAGGTCAATAAATGCTGAAATGACTCCAAAATGAACATTGCCAGTAGGTACTCTATTCCACATGCACACACACAAAATGTTAATAGAGGGAGGGAGAGAGAGAGATGTTGTTTAAGGTCCACTTGACACAAACTAGGTCATTTCGGGACTAACATGGTTCAATTTATTTCAATAATTCGCTAGCGCGTAGGGGTCTTTAGCAGTGGGAGGAAACTGGAGGACCTGGAAAAACCCCACAAGGTTGGACAGGCGACCCTACTCCTTGTCATGTATAAGCAGGGAATCGAAACCACACCACTTGACTCATGACAGACGTTATGATCAAACGCCCTCACATTAACCATTTAGACCCCCAACCCTCTCCCAATAACTGAAAGAAGTCAATTAGCATAATAGAAGAGATGTTCAAGTTGAAACATCTAGAGTTGACATTGATAATACACACATCATGTATTCTTATTACATTGTTTACAGATATGTTAGTGGTCATGCTCGAGAACATCATGAAACCACACAACAACATTCTGTTTGTATGGACTGCCATACCTTAATGACATTCTGGTAAGTATGTATATATGGATTCAATGTTTTTGTGATTGAGTAAAGTCCATGCAAGTGACAAGACTTTTAAATGGATTAATTTATCTTACTCTATGTAATTGTGAAAATGATTTGATTAAATTCGGTATGAATTTGGATGTTTTCTCCATTAAAATTAGGGGGGTTGGGATGGCCTAGTGGTCTAGAGTGTCACGCTTCGACCTCTAGCTGGCCGGTCACCTCTGGCTTGCGGTTGTGGTTTCGATCCCTGGTGTGAGCGTATGTGGCTTGGAGATAGGGGCGCCTTCTCAACCTCGTGGGTTTACTCCGGGTACTCCGGTTTCCTCCCACAGGAAAGACCCCTGCGCGTGCGCTAAGATAATGAAAATAAAAAAAAGACAACTTGTCTGCGATATTACCTTCGGTGGAAGCGGACGTTAAACACTAACAACAACAACAACAACCATTAAAATTGGTCTGGCAGGAACCAAGACAATTAACCTTAGTTCCATTATTGTTAACTTTTTCTGACATTGTGACATTGTTCTATTATTTCAGTTATTTATGTGATGAGTTTGTAATAAATGACACAACTGCTGGTAATTTAGATAAACTCCGCAAAAATTTGGAATCTTTTTCCCGACTAACACTCCAATCACAAAGGTATGTATACTTACATTTTATTACCTGGCCCAACTAACAAATTTTAAATAAAATACATTCAGACTGTTTTGTTTTGTGTGTGTTTGTATAGTTTTAGCGGTGATCACATTAAATATTTTTATTACAGTGCTCAAAATCATAGAACAGGAAAGCCTAGAAGAAGAAGTTCTGTTGAATCGGTAGAAAATAAATGTAAAAGGTTGAAAAGGGTGGGTAGATTATTTAGAACTTTTTCAGAGTTATCTCCCTTACATATGATTGCCTAAACTTGCTTTCTTCTTGTTGCCTGTCTTCATTAGTCCAGTCGGTGTGGAAAAGGATGACATTAAAACCCATTTCATTTCACTTCCTTGGGGTTGCTAAGAGGATAGTAACTTTTTAAAGTGATTTGTTTCATTCTTGGGTGGAATTATTGGCGGTGTGGAAAACTGAATATTTGATATTTCTACTTCAATGAATATTTGATTTTTCTACTTCAGGAAGATAAAAATAAAGCAAATGGGCCGAGGTCGTCTGGTTTACGCAACCTTGGTAATACCTGTTTTATGAATGCTGTATTACAATCATTAAGGTGTGTTTTAATTTAAAAGGTCACCTATCAAAATGTAGTATACTTACATGTATAAATATTTGATTTTAAGCATTTGGTATGTAGTAACTATTTTGAAAAACGGTATGTGTAAATTAAAATGATCCTGTTGTTAGTACTGACTTAATCTTTTTTCTTTCAGTAATATTCAACATTTCTGTGGCTATATAAAACAACTTCCTTCTTTAGAAGATAAGATTATAAAATGTAGAAAATCACAGATAAAGAAAACTCGTGAATCTGGTGATACTGTGTAAGTATAAATAAGGAATTATTTTAAAGCTGAAATTTTCAGTGATGTCTTTGGTTTTTTTTCCATTTGATCTTGTTGTATAGTATATTATCATCAATGTCTAAGAAATTTTGAAAATTAAATGAAAGAAATGGGTTCAGAACTCAGAAGATAAATTCTAAGAAGAACTATTATTATGAGTTTGACCCTGGTAATGGATGAACCCATTGTAACAGTAAAGACATGCATTTTACATCAAACAGACAAAAAACAATTGGTTTGTGAAACAGTTTAAATTTCTTTTCCTTCCTTATAATTAATATTTACACTGATAATTGTTTTGTTTTATTAATGCAGATTATTAGTAGAAGAATTGAGAAAAACCTTAGTTTCATTATGGCAGGGAAGCAAAAGTTCCATTTCACCAGAATCTCTTTTTTCCGTTATTTGGAAAGTTGTACCTAGGTTTAGGTAATTATTCTACGAACATTAAAAATTACTCCACTTATGACAAGAAATCTAATAATGTGATACAGTTTAAACCAGGAACTGAGCATGACATCATCTTGGAATTGTGACACCATCTTAACAATCATCAAAGACTGTCAATCTATGCGCAACTGTCCAAGAAATGGACATGCCAAGTTTCATGTTGATAATACTTATATTAACGGAATCTTAAAGATACATTATGTAAGATTTAGATAAAGAGCTAGCCATTCTTGCTATAATAGTTTGAAAATAGATAGGGGGGTTGGATGGCTGAATGGTTAGCGTGCGCGCGCTGTATCATAAAGTCTGTCATTGAGTCGACTGGCGTGGTTTCCAATCCCCGGTTGTACGTGGCAAGGAGTAGGGTCGCCTGTCCAACCTCATGGGTTTTCTCCGGGTCCTCCGGTTTCCTCCCACTGCTAAAGACCCCTACGCGCAAGCGAATTATGTAAATAAAATTAAACCATATGTTAGTCCCGAAATGACCTAGTTTGTGTCGAGTGGACGTTAAACCCCATTTCTCTCTCTCTCTCTCGAAAATAGATAATGTAAAATGTATAATTTGAAAATTTCATTCAAATTACTCTATTGCGAGTGAAGATATTAGCCTTTGAAGGTTTGACAAGACGTGTGCAATAATTTCAACCAGTCTTGATCCTCCATTTTTAGCTTAAATCAAAATATGGCTGAACTGTTCTAATCTGTTTAATATCGGAGAAATCCGATGCCATCGAGAGTTGATTATGGACTGGATAAGTTAATGTCTAATTATTAATTTAGAAAACATTTCAGGTCTGAAGAAAGACTGCAATAGGCAGATTTAGCTCTTGCATAATGTATGTTTAATCTTTTTTGAAGAAGAAGGGTAACAACAACAATGAATAGCGTGTGGTGCCCAGTTCTTGGTCCAAAAATAGTCTTTGACTTCAGTGGAGCGTAAATAATATTAATATGAAGACAATTGAACATCCGGAGCTTCATTTAAAAAATTATATACAAATTTAATTTTTTTTCTAGGGGATATCAACAGCAAGATGCTCATGAATTCATGAGATATTTATTAGATCGTCTCCATACAGAACTATTACAACTTCTTCCCTACCCTAACAGTAACAGTCCTTATATTGGTCCAAAAGGCAAGAGTACAATTGTAACTGCCATTTTTGGTGGATTACTTCAAAATGAGGTCAACTGTCTTATATGTGGGATGGAATCTAAGAAACATGATCCATTTTTAGGTTAGCTTCAATTATTTTCTTTTCAAACTTATCAGTTCTAACATTAACTCGATCAATGAAGCACACATAAATATAAGTAATTCTTCTTTCTAGTAGCTACAAATTTCTGCTGCTCATATGCGAAAATATATATTTATTGGTCTATAATATTCTCAAAAAAAAACACAACACAATGGAATACAATCACTGGTTTATACACATATAGCACGTTTCGACAAGTATTCTCTTATCATTAAGTACTTGATAACGATAAGAGAATATTTGTCGAAACGTCGTGATTGTATTCCATATAAATTGTGTTGTGTTTTTTAATGTGCTCAATCACTAAATGCCACTCAAGGATTATATAATGTTCTCAGTGTTTTAAATGCTGGATTGGAAATCCTGATTTATTGAATACAGGGGTTTTATCTATTTTTGTACCAACTAGTAATGAATATATATCAAGCATTTTAAATCTGTAATATTGTTGATTATTTTTCTTCTGTGTATCAGATTTGTCGCTAGATATTCCCTCCCAGTATGTGACTAGAACCAGTAAAACAAAGGAAGGAGAATCTGTGTGCAAGTTAGGAGGTGAATAATAAATAATATATAATAATGATGTCCTAAAATCCAACTGAAGCTGCATGGTCAGTTAAAAGAAAAACACTAGTTAAAAGGAGTACGCAATTAAAAGAAAACGTTTCTAAAAAGATGGATTTTAAGATTCCTTTTAAAACTGTCAATTGATGCACAGTGCTTTAGTTCTACAGGAAAATTGTTAGAATTACACAGTTCTGCTGCCGCAGATGAGGAAGATATAGACAAATACCATTCATGCATAATTTGTATTTGTATTTTTGAAAAAAATCTTTTTATGTGAAAAATGTCACAAAACTGTGATTTTTTTGGATTTTTCCTGTGTTTTGTAGTTTGCGCAGAATTCAATAAAACAATGAATTGGTAAACAAAATTAAATGGTACACGATACACGAATAGTCCTAATAAAAGTTTTTTTTAACTACTGGTCACACAACATTAAATATAAGCCTGGAGGTCGGGTGTTCCCTGCATTGGCCGAGAAAGTTCATCCAGATTTTCCGGTGTGGTTTCCCCTTGTCAGTGATGCAGGATGGAGGGCCTGACAAGGACAGCTGTCTAGTTGTTCGGATGGTACGAAAAACTGAGGTCCCGTGTACATATTGGCGTGCACGTCAAGATCCATTGGCAGTTGGAATTCGATATAAGAGTAGGTCGTAGCGCTGCTGCCCAGGCAAAATTTCCCTCATAGCACACTGTATGGCGTATGTCCGTCTTCATTAGCCCAGTTTAGGAGCAGAACAGTAAGACGTTAAACCCCATTTCATTTCTTTTACATTAAATATAAACATAACATTTCTATAAAATACCCCTATACACTAACCATCACCAAAAATAATATTTATTTTTATTATGCCAAAGTTCATCAGTATTCATATGTTGATATGGTGAGATAAACAAATGCACAGAACTAAAAGACTACATGGATATATTTTGTAGATTGTTTAGAGAGTTTTACTGATGTAGAGGAGTTAGAAGAATCTGAATTATATATGTGTAGTAACTGTAAACTTAAACAGCGGTCGACCAAGAAGTTTTGGATACGACGTTTACCTAATGTAAGTAATAGTTGTTAGCATTATATATTGATAATGTCAGTGGATATATCCAGTTGTGGATTACCCATGTTCCTGAAGCAACGACTGCGAGTTTTACAACATTTTGATGTTGCTTGTTTACTTCACAATTCCCAAACTTATAGCTATGTTATCTACAAACACGTGAGCAGTAGCGTCAAATCAGAGGTTGTGACATCGCGACCTCCACGGAAACCTTGACATTGAATAAACCTTGAACTTTGCAACTCGATTATCACGGGTAAACATTTTAGCTTGAAAGCGTGAGACTTGGTGTTCGCGACATTCGGGGAATCTGATAGGCTCACATTGCCTCACAAGCTGGGCTTGTACCCAATCGAAATTAGTGTCGAAATATGCAGGGTATTACGTGAAGGCCTTGATAAGTTAAGCGAGATCAAGCCTTCTATTGAAGATGTGGATTACCCTGTAGTATAGGCCATGATAGCTGTGGTCACTGTTATGATAATGTGACATGTGGTCTATTAAATGAACCCGTATTCATTAGTCAGGCTGGTTTAGAATAGTAAATTCTCAACGGTCATTTGCACCCTTCTTCTCTCAACCAGGACTCCCTTGGTCCATGACTAATGTGTTTTATAGAGGTTGTTTCTAGAGATGATCGGTTACCATGTCTGGGTCAGCTGATAATTGGCCATTTTTACCGATATTTAGTGAACTAGAACATACCCATTTTGAAATGGACACTTTTATTTTATAGGTATTGTGTTTACATCTAAAGAGATTCAGATGGAGTTCACATCATCGAGTGAAAGTAGAAACATTTGTTGATTTTGATTTAAAAGGTCTTGATATGAGTCATTATGTGTTAGATATGCTGGTAAGTTTGTTTAATAAATACTTTATTTCACATACCATAAATCCAGTAAAAAGTCAATAATGATCTGTGATTATGCATTATTAGATATGCTTTGTAGGACTTTGTTCCGGTGTACATGTAGCCATTGATGCATGAAATTGGGCAAAACAAATCAAACCTTGAATAAAGTGACATTTTGAATTTTATAAATTTGGCATGCTTTTTGCACTACAGACTACAGTACTGAAACGCAAAATCGTTGTTTAATGATCCCCCCACCGGCGCACACAATTTACTATGAAAATGCGGTTAGTGATTGGAACCATTTTGTATTGTACAATGTATGATCAATATAGAATATATACTAGTATTAACAATTACTATTGATAAAACCATTTCAGCATGAGACAAGAGGAAGTTCATCAGGTAGTAATTTGTATGATTTAGCTGCAGTTATAGTTCATCATGGCTCAGGGTAAGTTATTTAAAATGTTTCTTCTAAATTATGATGATACGAAAAAGAAATACACAGCCTAATTGATTAGTGTACCTTTAGATGTTGTTAATTATTGGATTGTGGGGTTTTAACATGAATTGTTAATATGGATTGTGGGGTTTTAACATGAATTGTTAATAGAGACCACTGCTATAGAAGTACTTATTTTAATGAGATAATATATTTGGATTTTCATAGGGCTGGCTCCGGTCATTACACAGCTTATGCAGTGCATGAAAGTAAGTATTTACTCAAAATTAAATTTATAAGCTACAAAGATATTTTTGTTCCTACTGTATTTTTTTCAGGGCTATTCCAGAAACAAAGATGTCCCACCCCCAATACTTCAGGGTTATTAAGCTGTTGTTTTCCAAATTTTAATTCTAACATCACAGGGAAACGAAATTCCCCATTCCAAAAAAGGAAATAGGGGTAATCAAATGTTAAACGAACCCCTTTGAAGCAAAGAACTGTTGAATATTATTTGTGGTATAATAAAGTGGCATAACCTAGGATATTTACTAGTGTTTAATTCAAGCTCCAAGCTTACTGAAGGGCCCTCTGATCTTAAAGCAGCAATGCCAATGAGCTCTTCTATAAATTTTTTGAGGGCTGAATAGTTTTGTCTATCCAATAATTAGTTTTGGCCCTTAATTAATTTGAGAAATCTTGTAAGTGTCTTGTTAATGCTCCCATTAACTAGAACACAATTAATACAGGCAAACTTTGTGGAGTGTGTGTGGACGGATGCTGTGAGCATGTGTCATCTTTACTCTGAACTGAAAGTCTGTAGTTCCTTTTAGTGGGCTTTAAATGAAAAAAAAAATCCCAAAACCTTGTTGGCCTAATGAAGAAGTGTTAAAAACATTATTTTGAAAAGATAGTTTCTAACAGAATATTTGTTTTTATCTATGGCAGGTCAGTGGTATCATTTCAATGATAGTACAGTAACAGCCTGTGATACAGAAACAGTGGTTAAATGTAAAGCCTACATTCTATTTTATGTTCGCCGTCAAATAAAACTACCTGATTATCTTAGTGTGACGGCAAATGGAGAAGAGAGTTCAGCAATATAAACTTGTGTCAACTCTCACGTTTAATGTACGTTCTATATGGTTTTGAGTGACAGATGTGTATAGTGTACCAAGCTTATTAGAATCTGCCTCATCTATGTCTGGAAACTATTAACTGGGGATCACATTGTAGCTCTAATTCATATGAAGCTTAATTTTTTGATGTAGCTTTATCAAAATAATGAAAAACAAAAAGCTTCAAGAAGCCAGCCCCTTTGCCAAAATAAAATTACTTGGTAATGGTGCAGATAACAATAGTCAAGTTACAATGACAATAAGAAAATTAATACAAGTAAGGACATAAAAAAACACACTAAATTTATACTTTACTTACTGGTGTATTAACAACTTAATCAATTGCAATATCACCCTAAGCGGAAGCGGACGTAAAGGTTGGATAAACTAAACTAACAACTTCATCTACTTGGATTCTGTGGGTTCACATAAAACTTTAACAAAAATATGATCAAATTTTATTTATTTAAATTGAACGCTGAAATTTATAAAATAACAATGTTAACTTAATCCATTACAGATTTTTTTTCTCTCTATTTTTAAAAGGCTTGGTTTGTGTTGCAGCCTGTTTTGCTGTCAAGGTCTCTTATCTATATGGTCTTGTCTGTAAAGATGCATTAAATTGCACAAATTATTTTCTCATTAAACAAAAATCACCATTTAAAGATACATTAGTTAAGATTTTAATAAAGAGTTGGCCATTCTTGACATAACAGGTCAAAAATAGATGAGAAAAAAAGAAAATATTGAAAATTTCAGTCAGATTACTTTATTCTGAACGAAGTTATCACTGTGGAAAGTTTGGACTAGATATAGGCATCAACTGTCTTTGCACCGAGAATTGCTGATTGTTTGATTGACAGACGATAACTCCACCCACACATTCTTGATTATCAAGTAACATTCTCGATGCCTACGGTAGCCTCGACTGTCTGTCCTTTCATCCAAGCTGTATCCAAGCCATCCAAGGGTCTACAGAGTTGATTTTGGGCTTCTTATGTAAATAAAGGTCTTTCCATAACATTTGAAGCCTATAGAAAGACTTGCAATAGGCATATTTAGCTCTTAACTAATGTATCTTTAATTTCATTAGTATTTAATAAAAGACACAGTTGTTGTTCTGTTTGAATTGAAGTTTTTAATTGTATTAATCATAAAATTTTCACGACTTTTACAAACTGAATTCTTTCTTAAAAACTTGTTTCTGTATGGTAACTGTGCAATGACTTGATAATAATTTTTTGAAGGAAATTTTAAATGCTGTAATTTCTACATATATTGTAATTTTTATATCCATTGGTAGAATGTAATGTTATGAAAGAACCCAATGGATATGAATAGACATATGTTGATAAGATTCGGTTGTTGAATGATTGAATGAAAATAGATTTTTGATACTGAAAATTTTTCTTTTGGTTTTGTTATTCATTTAAACTTCAGACCAAACATAGATTGTTTAATTTAATTAGAGGCCAAGCTCATGGAAGAAGTTACCTCTTTATATTGCTATGTAGTGTGAATGTGTTGTAAATATGCTGTGCATGGTTGATCAAATGATATGACTTTAATGCTCTACCTTTCCTAATATTGTCTAAATATAGTCTTTTGACTGAATATTCCTTTTTAAAATTATTCAATTTCTTTTTTTAAGAGTTGTTGTACTCTACATATGATTGATAACATAAAGGAATATCAATAACCAATGTGATATATAGCTAAATCTGTTGTATTACAGGGCTAGTAGGCATGGGGTATTATGATCATTGTTTATTTTACAAATTCTTATGAAGATTGGCTTTGTACTTCACTTATTAAGTTAATTGCTTTGGCAAATTTGGAAATGTTGGATTTAACTAATGACTACCAAATTCAAATCATTAGTGATCATCTATAGATGCGAAGTGGGTTATATATAAGATGGTGTGGAGCAAACAACCTTTTTTTTTTGACACTGTGAGGGAATATATCGTCAGTACAACTGTTTGTAGTTTTCAATAAATGTCCCAAGAAACCAAATATTGAATTATTAGAAGCCGCATTGGAAATTTGATCATAACAATTAATGATCCTTTAAAAAAAAATCTGAATTATATATATAGTCAATTTCAGAGGTCAATAAATAATCTTTCATATATGGAACACAATTAATTTCAGAGGTCAATAAATAATCTTTCATATATGGAACACAATTAACAAAGAATATATTCTTTGAATGTATTCTTTGAATGGCATTTAGTAATCAAATAAAACACAATTTATGGATAACAATTACTATGGTTTATTTCATTGCAATATTTCAACAAGATTTCACAACTCTTTATCAAACATATGTCAACACAAATAAGTTGTGAAATCCTGTTGAAACGGCGCAGTGAAATAAACCATAGTTATTGGTATCCATAAATTGTGTTTTATTTGATAACAAGGAATATATTACAAAGTACTTATCAGATTTAGATTAAAATATTATTTTGTATATGAACCAGCGGCTGCCAGGCAGGATACGCCCACATTTTCAAGAGATGGATAGAGAACAAGCTAACAAGAAAGTGATTTTTCCTACAATCAAGGGCCATAATTCAGGAAATTACAATTCGATACGCGCAAATATCGAAAGGAACTGAACGAACGGCCGCCATTTTGTCTGTCAATTTTCATGAAATTCGAATTCAGTCATCCTTAGGGTGTAACGGTGATATAATAGAACGGGTTTTTAATTCGGATAAAAATTATGACTTCTATAGGGTCCACAAGCTAAAAACGTGATTTTTCGTACAATCAGGGGCCATAATTCAGGAAGTTACTGTCATTTATGCGCGAATATCGAAAGGAACTGAGATCTTTGGGTTATAAACTTACATTTCAAGTTTCAAGAAAATCGGATCAAAACTGTGACCTCTATAGGGTCCACAAGCTAAAACGTGATTTTTCGTACAAACAGGGGCCATAATCCATGAAGTTTCGATCCGATACATGCCAATATCGAAAGCAGCCGAGATCTTTTGGGGATTAACCTAAATTTCAAGTTTTGTCGAAATTGGATAAGAATTGTGACCTGTAGAGAGTCCACAAACAATTGTGGACGGACGGACAGTGGCGACGGCATAATACGTCATGTGGACGTATAAAAATATGCTCTTTATTCTTGTGGTACAAACTATTTATCAGAATTTTCTGATTTGTAATTTTTCTAGAAGATGCAAAAATTACATTTGATCAGTAATTGGTTTGTCTCATAACCAGTATGTGTATTCCTTTTTGTTACCTATCATTTAGAAATTGATTGTCAAAAGTATTGTTTTCCTATAAAATATTTATTGGCTCAGATTTGTTTTACAATTGTATATTTCAAGTACATTTGCAAATTGTAAACTTAAGAAAATAATAGGGATTGTATGAAAGTTAAATTAAGTTTTTCTTGGGGGCATGAACATAGAATTTTTGACGAAGTAGAGATGGTCAAACACTGTAGTTTTCTGTCAAGAGAAACTCCTGATTTTCTGTTGGAGGTTCGTTACAAACCTTTGATACATCAAAAGGGGCGATTAGGCCAAACAATTTAATTTTCAGTTCTATAGGATCTTGATAAATAAATAGCCATGTTAATCACGTGAAAGATGCTCAGTTCGAAGAATTTTTCTTACAAAGAAACAAAATTTTAACAGGTGTTCCCTAAGAACAGCAAATCAAATTGGTGTGGCCTTAAGGAAAAATGACAGGAAACTACACAGTGTACATCTGACCTAGCTCCAAATCTGGATGAATTGGCTATATCTGTATTGTGCACTGTTTGAAGTCATACATGTAGATGTATATTTTGTAATGCTTATTTTCAGTGTGTTCAAGGTATTACTGTGTAGTACTATTCAGTTGATTTAATTAAAGAAACAAATATTTTCAAATAGTACAACACCTTTTTTTGTTCTTAATTTTAAACAATATTCGATACATAGAATACAGGAACCACAGGTACAAGTGATTTGACAGTACAATTTTTATCTTTGCAGGACTCTCATTTTCATGAATGACAGTTTGTTACTAAGAACAACTTGTGTTTTCTTGACTCTCCTGTGTATTAGATAATGAATAAAGCACGCGTCTGAGGTTATGCTGGAGAAAGAAAGTCCCAAAGAAAGAATTAAAGGCTTTTTTATTGAGGTTTTCTTTCTAAGGTCTTTCTAATCCTGCATATCAAACTTAAAAAACGTATCGTAATTGAACTTTGATATAAGAAAAATAACAAATATTGCAAGCTATACTGAGGTCAAAAAGAAAGTATATACACAAAAAGTATGACTAAGTTTTGTTTAGATTAGAAACATTTGATAAAGCATTACTGAGTTTGTCTCTTGCGTGCAATCTCAACATTTCAAAGCAAAATTAAAATGTGAAACAAATTGGCATTCTACTCAAATACCATATACCATGAAAAAACGACTTTGGTTGATGCAGCACAAAATGCACAGTGTATACTTTCTTTTGGACATTAGTATATTTCGGCCTTAGAAAAACCTGGAAAGATCAAAAAGATTTACTGTTACAGGTATATAAGTTAAAGATGATATATTCTCTAATTTGAGATGTGTATTTTACATGTCAAATCATTTGCGAAGATTTATCAAAATATAACTATTGTATGTTAAGATGGATCTTATTCTGGACAAGGTTGGCCAGTAAGAAACATCACAGTATGGTAATGTATGTTTATCAACAAATGTTTCAGACACAAGCCTTAACCTTGGAACAAATTTTGCAAAAAACAGTAATCTTTAGCCCAATACCAAATATTCCTTAAAACCAGTAAAGAATCGAACTCCATGGGGTGAGTGGGAGCACAGTAATGGAATCATAGGGGCAATTACTCCGTAACCAGATCTGCAACAAGTGATTGCCAGGCAAGAGATGGATAGAGATCTTTGGGTTATAATGATGTATTTTATTTTTTTTTTTTTTATCAAAATTGGATAATTGTGACCTCTAGAAATTGTAAAGAAGTTGACCTTGTGAGAGTGAATGGAGGGGTCAACCACATTAAATTTGGGCCTATATAAATAAAAGCAAATAACTGATATCTGATTTTTATAAGATTGTCTTTGGACTGATAACATACTTCAAATTTCTCTCGACTGTAGATGCCAGCTGGATGAAAAATAAATCTCAAAACAACAGTTCAGACTTCAGACACCTTGGAAATTGCATTTTCCCATTTAATGATGTCCGTCTCTAAATCATCTAGCTATTATATTATAAATTTCATGCTCAATTTTAGTATTGAGCGCAGTTTGGGGAAAAAAAAGATAAAATAACATAAAATGTGTTTTATTTAACTATAATATATAAATGAAATGAAATGAAATGGGGTTTAACGTCCTACTGTTTTGCTCCGAACTGGGCTAATGAAGACGGGCATACGCCATACAGTGTGCTATGAGGGTAATTTTGCCCAGACAGCGGCACTACGGCCTACTCTTATATCGAATTCCAACTGTCAAGGGATTTTTTACGTGCACGCCAATGTGTACACGGGACCTCGGTTTTTCGTCTCATCCGAATGACTAGACAGCTGTCCTTGTCAGGCCCTCCGTCCTGCATCACTGACAAGGGGGAACCATGCCGGAAAATCTGGATGAACTTTCTCGGCCAATGCAGGGATCGAACACCCGACCTCCAGGCTAGCCACCATGATCCCCAACTATAATATATAAATATCAAATCTATTCAATTAACATATATAACATATAACCTAATTAACTTCGAGGTAAGGACAAACAATTGATTACTGTAAAACCCAAAACTGAGTCATGAAATAACTGTGACCAGTAAATATTACTACACTATTATTTTCATGACCATTGGTTTCTATTGATTTCACACTGCCATCTGCCAATCTGATTAAAATTCAGATCTATATTTCGTTTCCTTTCTTTTATACTTTTGATGGCCTCAACTACATGAATATCTGACCAGTTGTAGTGGGAGGTTGCATCGGGGGTCATACAAGCGGCTTTTGGCCCTATGACGTCAGGCATTTGATAAACCAATCACAGTTGATGTTTCTAGTAGGAGAGCCACAGTTCCGTGCATTGCACGCCAATAACTCGCTGCAACAGACCGTTTCATTGGCTAATCCCTCACATCAGCCAGAACACAGATTGTATAACAACTCTTCCAGAACCTAGTGTAGTAAAGACAAGTAAAACAACATTTTGAACTATAAAAAAACGAAACGAAATGGCATCTGTGTTTTAATCAGATTGTCAACCAAATAAAGTAACAATAATTCTGCTACCTATTTTGGTACATGTAAGTCTATTCCTCATGAAGGTTTTTATTTAATTTTTTTTTTACACTCAGGATTTCATAAAAATATATATATTCTGATAAAAAAAAAAGATTTTAGGGATGAAATATAGCTTAAAATGAACTTGTTTGTCTAATTCCAACCATTGTCTTACAATTTGAGATATCAGATAAGTAACTCTATAGTTATTATAAGAATTTTGGACCATGGTAATTTCTGTATGTTGATCAGTCTTAATGAGCCTGGTTGGTGCACCTTATTTCATTTCATATCTCACAAAGTTGGGTATCGTGTAGCTGTTTTAGTGGGAGTTTCTGTATTTAATGTCTAGTTTCAAACTATTGTAGGTAAATTATTCAAATTCATTTAGAATCATTAAAAAAATATTGGGTTCCTACTGTCGCATAGTTTAAAATGGTTTGTCTAGATTAGATAATGTGTGATTTGTTTACAACAGTTTACTTTCACTAGCAGTGTTGAGTAATCTATTAGTCTGTTGGTTGATCATTGTGTAAATTGTATTATAAAACATACAGATTTATTGTTTCGGTAAAAATCAGAAGTATAAAACATCAAAAACATGTGTTTAAAAATAAGATTCAGAATTACTTTTCCCTGTCCTTTTGATTTATTAGATGAACTCTTTCATTCATAGTTGTTAAACCCCAAGATGCATATGAAGGTTTGGTCTGAAATATATCTAGATAATCTATTTGTTTTATATTACATTCTTTACCTGTAATAAGAAAAAATATAAAATGTCAACTTTCATAACAGATATAAATATTATACACATTTGTGGTCAGAGTTAACCTTACACTTTGAGTATTATGGACGTAAGTTGGCACTACAGCATAATTTATTTTCAAATTCGACCCAGAAGTAAGATCTACTGAAATATACATTTATCAAGCTGAAATTTGTAATGCTACTAAAGTACAGGTGTACATGTAAGTAACACAGGTGAAAACTTATCATTTAAACTCTAAATTCATTCACTCAAATCTAGGCACTCACTAATACTCTTAATAAATCATGCGACTTTACAACACCATATGTGCATGGAACGGTTGAAACTGTGATAATATATATTTTGTCATGTACACAAATGTCTGATTGCAAAGAAATTCTATTAGATTATACTTACCATATAATTCCTCTATTACCTCTTCAGCAACAAAATGTGGTGGTCCTAAAAAAAAGTATATCAAAATTTCCTCTTATTATCAAGGCATCAAATTACTACGTGTGGTAAATATGGTAATTTGTATTTGAATAAGCACAATAATATGATTGTTAGCTGGCCAGGAAACTTAATCGGATTCAGATATATAGGAGTATGCCCTTTTTTAGCCTGGAAACAGTGCAATATCTGGTTCAATGATAAATGCACAGCAAATAATATCTGTCATAAAACTTGTAAAAAAAAGTTTAAATCACAAACCAGGATAAGCTGATTCATCATAATCCATTGTAACCAACAAGTACTGAGTACCAGCTGACATCAATGATTTTATCTTATCTGCATATCTGTCAAAAAAAAAAATTCAATATTTTACAATTTTTTAGTCATCAAAAATAGTAACAAGGGGTTGCCATGTAAGATACACCCACATTTTGCAAGAGATGGACAGAGAACAAGCTAAACAGAAAATTGATTTTTCATAATACAAGAGGCCATAATCCAGGAAGTTAGGGTCCGATTAGCATAAACATCGAGAGCATCACAGATCTTTGGCATATAAACATATATTTTAAGTTTTATCAAAATCGGATAAAAACTGTAACCTCCAGAGGGTTCACAACCTTGGTATTACATACTTTTACACTATCTGCTTATGGGATTTAGTCATTTTGTTGGGCAGTTTCCGTCTGATTTTCATGAAATTTGAATTTAACTGTCATTATGGTTTAACAGTGATATATATATATATATATTTATATATATATGAACATTTTTTTAAATCAGTTAAAAATTGTGACCTCTTTTTTGTACCATCATGGGCCATAATCCAGGAAGCTAGGGTCCGATATTTGCTAATATCAAAAGGAACCAGGATCATTGGGTTATAAACATACAAATTAAATTTGACCAAAATCGAATAAAAATTGTGACCTCTAGTGTGGCCACAAACAAATTGTGGACAGACAGAAAGGGGCGACGACAATTTACATCCACATGAAAATGTGGGTGTATAAAAACATTATAATTGGGATTATTCATGTTCTATAAAGAGCTTCAATTACATAAAATTATTATCAAACACTGAAGTTAAATATGCCATAATGACAAATAACAATATTTCATTTAAGTGTCTTCAAAGCAAAATCTGATACTTACCTATTTCTATCATCTCTATTAATAGCCACTAAAGCTCCTCGATCAAATATTCCATCTATTTCTACGTCTTCACTCCTGTTAATAATCAGTATTCTTAATCTTGTATTTCACTTAATAATATGTCCTACTGTTAATCACAATTTTATAAAACTTACAAAACCTGACCATGCAGAGTGGGGAAGCAATTTATTTGTGAATGTCATTATCTGCCAAATCTAATTTACATGTCCTCAGCCCAGAAATCTCAGTCTTTAACTTTGCTTTTTTGCCCCCCACCTTTCGAAGAAAAGCTGGGGACTAATACAATTACAATGGGTCTGTCCATCCGTCACACATTTTGGGACACAATAACTCTCCTAATTGAGGTAGAATGTTCAAACTCGGTGTAGGTGTTTATTAGGTGAATGCCTTGATGGAGATCGAAAGTGAGCATTTTCTGCTAAGGGTAAGCAGAGAAAAGCTGTTTGATTGGTTCATGCTTTGGGACACAATAACTTTAGTTCACAATAACTCTCCTTCTAATTGAGGCAGAATGTTCAAACTTAGTGTAGGCATTCATTAGGTGAATGCTTTGATGGTGTCTGAAGATGACTATTTTCTGCTTAGGGTAAGCAGAGAGATAAGCAACTTGATTGTTTGTTGCTTTGGGAAAAGATAATTTTGGTTCTAATAAAGTGAAAGTGATGGAACTTGGTGTATAGTTTCATCACATCAATACCGTGACTAAGTTTGATTGTCGAGCTTGACAACTTTGATTCTAATTGAGTAATAGTGGTGAAACTTTGTGCATAGTTTCATTTCATCAATACCTTAACAAAGTTCGATGATGAGCATTTTTTGCTTAGGCAATCTGATTGGTCGAGACTTTGGAACACAATAAATCTCCTAATTGAGTTAGAAAGAATGTTAAAATTTTTTATAGGTGTCTATTAGGTGAATGCCTGGACAGAGTTCTATCATGCGCATTTTCCACTAAGGCTAAGAAGAGATAAACAATTTGATTGGTTGAGACTTTGGAACACAATAACTTTGTTTCTAATTGGGTGAGAGCGATGAAACTTCCATTATAGAATCATTACATCAATACATTGACTAGGTTCAATAATGAGAATTTTCTGCTTAGGCTAAGTAGCGATAAGCAATTTGATTGGTCAAGACTTTGGAACATCACAACTCTGCTTTTAATTGAGGTAGAATGTTTAAACTTGAGTTAGATAATCATTATCTGATGACTGAGTTCAATGATTAACATTTCCTGCTAAAGCTAAGCAATTTCATTGGTTGATGCTTTGTTACAAGATAACTTTGATTCCAGGTACTTCAAAACCTTGACCGAGTTTGATTGTGAAAATTTTATGCTTAGACTAAGTATAGATAATCAGTTTCATTGCTCAATACTTTTGAAACAGATAAATGTGCAATTAATTAATATGTGACATCTACTTATTTGGGGATTTCGGCGGGGAAAATCAGCCTCGCTGTTGGATTGTTAATATTGTGACCATATGCTATTTAAACTAGATACACGGCCTAGTTTCTTTTGATGATTTTCAATTACTCAACCTCCAAGAGCAGTACCATGCTGAATATTCATTGTAATTCACAGAATAAACTACATGGATGTTCCTCAGGTATCTTTCCCATTCAACTGTGGAGAACTTTTCTACTGTGACATTATACTATTGAAGCTAAGGATTCACAGCTCGGCTACTAGTTACTTACTTTTTAAATTCAAAAAAGTCACAATTATACAGTTTGATTCTCCCATCTTTACTCTGAAGCAGAAAATAAAATACACATTGAGAGAAAGAGAGAGAGAGAGAGAGATAGAGAGAGAGAGAGAGAGAGAGAGAGGGGGGATATAAATCCACTAAATATGGTTTAATTTTATTTAATAATTCGCTTGCGCGTAGGCGTTTTAACAGTGATAGGAAACCGGAGGAACTAGAAAAAACACACGAGGCGGGACAGGCGACCCTACTCCTTGTCACCTACAAGTGGGGAATTGAAACTGTGCCACTTGATTCACTGACAGACCTTATGATCCAACGCACAGACTTTAAACCATTCGGCTACCCGACCCCAACCACATCAAGAAGAGATTGGACTATTTGTAAATCAGGAGTAAAATGTCTCTTCCCAAAAAATCTTGGTTATAAATTTTCAAAAGTACCTGATATGTTTCATCAGTATAAGTTGTTCCTACAGTGGAAGGTTAATTAAGCATGTAAAACTGGCTACATCTATTCACTTCTACCACACAACTCAACTAGTACAGCAGAAAAATGTTTGTGTATTATTAGCACATTCTTCTATATGATTCATTCATTTATCATTTGACTAAGTATATGTATATACATGTACAACTAGACATTTTTCAATCTAGTATGAAGGATGTTTTGTACCATTACACATGGTGTACCGGTATTTATAATTGATAACATATACCTATAATAAAATAATTAATTGTGTATTTAATTGGCTAATTGTATCCAGGTATCTTCACTGAAGTGTGCTTTTTTGAGAAAACTGTCTTATCTGAAGAAACTGGTTATGTGTTTTGTTTGTTTTGTTTTAAGTGGTAGTGTATAACAAAGTGATACTTTACAACACCCATATTAAAAATGATATGTATGATTTTCCACTTTATTTCTTTACCTTATATAGTGTTCCGTTGAATTCTTTGACATCTTCTTTAATGTACTCCAGTCCTTGTTCATCGTAAAAATCTGTAATTGCCTTGGATGCAAATTCAACTCCAATAACACTATGACCTTTATCATTCAACCTTTTAAAAAAAATACACATCATTGAGTGTTGGATGCTAGCTAACACAACATTAACCCATTGGCAGCCCTATTGCCTGGGGTAGCAAAATTATGTATTACAAAATCAATCAACACTCCAGTAATCTTAAAATCTAATAATTTTCAAAATAACAAATAAGGCACACTTGTGTCCAATCTGGTGAAAAATTTCTCCTGTTTGCGGTTTTAGAAAGATAGTGAACAACATCAGATAAGTATAAGCAATAAATCTGTCAATCATTGTAAATTTGTCTTCAAAAATTGTGAAACAGAGGTTTGATAAAAGGGAAATAACTCCCATCACTATTGATCACAATTCTATAATATTAAATAGGGAATATCCTCAGGATGCAGTTATAAAGCTCTGTGAATTTGATCTAAATGAGCTGTAAATATTGTGAACTGTCAATGAACATATGGAGATGTACTAAGATATGAACAGCAGACTCTGAGGTTGACACTATATAATAATTATTTCTTATGGTCATTACAAATATTGTACCAAAAACTCCTGATACTACCTCTCATTTTCATTTTAGGCGTTCACACAGTCAACAAATTTTTGTACTTCTTTTGTACCAAAGTCTAAATAAATATGTCAAATATTATTAAAATATATCACCATTTTATATCTACAGTTTTGCCACACATAGGTATAAATACAGTTATAGTCTCTCTACCATTTAGCATCTTTTCAAAATGTTTCTCTAAATTTCTACAAAATGAAAATGAAAATGAAAATTAATACTTTGATACAGCAATGTTAACATTTAAAGTGGCAACACTTGCACTGCTGGGTATGAGGCAGGTACTTAGTGGGCAAAATACAGGAACCTCAAGCATTCTAAGAATTGGGAGGTCCCTAGTTATATTTAACAGTATATGATAGTTATTACAGATGTAATGTTAGTCATATTTTTCAGTATGATAGTTATTACAGATGTAATGCTAGTCATTTTTTTTACAGTATGATAGTTATTACAGATGTAATGCTAGTCATTTTTTACAGTATGATAGTTATTACAGATATACTGCTAGTCATAGTACATGTATAGTATATAGTTATTATATGAAATTTTGACAGTTCATCTATCCCGGTACTTTTATCATCATGTATAACTTGTGCTACAGTGCTACCTACCAAATTTGCAAAAATTATTTCCTTTTATATGTTAGCCTAAAACTGATGGTATCAGTCTGCAAATTTAAAACTAGTCATACATACAAATTTTTGAATAAACTGGTACAAATTCAAAACAAATTTCTTTAATGGATAGCTTCAAATCATGAATTTAATAAGACTGACAGTTAGAGTCAGCGGTTTGCAGATGTGTAAAAATACAAGAGACGATCGGCAATTATACTCACGCATTAACAGCTTCATTATGAAAACCAATCCTGTTATCGGCCCATCTCTTATTCCAATCATCTAAGCTATTTTCTGTATTCTCCATTTTCTTGGCTTGTGAATCATCACTGCTATCATTTGCAGCATTTTGACTTTTGTTTTCCTCATTCCTCATCTTGGAAGTTATCTACTATAAAAGAATATCAAAAAATTAAATTCTATTAAATATGGTATTTACAAAGATATGATGTCATTCTCTGCAGACAGTATAAACAATCCAGCACCATCTACAGCCTAAAATTTCCATAAAATATGACCGAACCAAAGCCAAGAGATTAAATACCATACCGGTATCATTTATATTTTGTTTTTTTAATTAAATCTTAAATAATCAATTTGAGTAGGCCTACATTTTAGTGAGGTGGCTAGGTCATTTTGGGACTAACATAAGGTTCCATTTTTTTCAATAATTCGCTTGCACATAGGGGTATTTAGCAGTGGAAGGAAACCGGAGGACCCAGAGAAAACCCATGTGGTTGGACAGGCGACCCTACTCCTTGTCACGTACAACCGGGGAATCGAAACAACGCCAGACTGATCAATGACATCCCTTATGCACTGTGATCCAGAAGTAGTCCTAAATATTGAGTTTTAAAACTGTTGGGAAAAATATGAATGTATGTCAAGTGATTTATATTCAATTTTTGAAAAAAAATAATATTGTAGGCCTAATTTCTAATCAACAAGCCAACAGTGAGGCTGATGTCCCCCGCCGAAATCCCCAAATAAATAGATAACACATATTAATTTTAACAAGTTTGAACATTCTAGCTCAATTAAAAGTTATCGTGTCCCAAAGCATCAACCAATCAAATTGCTTATCTCTGCTTACCCTAAGCGGAAAATGCTCATCTTCGAACTCCATCAAGGCATTGACCTAATCAACACATACACCAAGTTTGAACATTCTAGCCCAATTAGGAAGAGAGTTATCGTGTCCCAAAGCATCAACCAATCAAATTGCTTATCTCTGCTTACCCTAAGCGGAAAATGCTCATCTTCGAACTCCATCAAGGCATTGACCTAATAAACACATACACCAAGTTTGAACATTCTAGCTCAATTAGGAAGAGAGTTATTGTGTCCCAAAAAGTGTGACGGACAGACAGACAGACGGACGAACCCATTTTAATAGTCCCCTGCTTTCTTCGAAAGGCGGGGGACAATTATGTTCGGTGAAATATGTGAACAGTTCAAATTGAACAGCAGTTTTTTAAATTATTATTTTGTCGATTGTGAATCAGCCTTTACTAATTATTGCTTCACATTGTGTTGTCTAGGATATGCTTTTATTTGTTCATTACAGAATGATACCCGAAACCATAGGCTAGGGAGTAAAGGGACGTACATGACTCGTATACTGATTATAAAATGTTAAAATTGTGTCTTAAATATTGGATATTAGGATCCTATTTTTTCACGGCAAGATAAAAACATCAATATTGATTGAAATTGATCAATATTGAATTCTAATTTGTGTATTAAATTTCGAATATTATGGAAAATATTGAGTTAGACGAGACCTAGCTACTTTTAGTAAGTTACTTAGTTGAAAAATGACGTCGCATAATATTAATATTCCTAACTTTGATATAATAATAAACCTAGAATAGACATGTCAATTAGGCCTAAAACGAATTTAACAGCAAACGTGTCATCCATTAATTCTTGTAACAAATTTGAAAAAAAAAGGGTTTACTTTGACCATTCCGAGACTTACAGATTAATTGTTCCACTTGTTGTAGCTTTGCCTTTTTTTTTACTTGTCTACTTGCGCATTAATCTGGACTAATTTGCTTCGCTAGTACCACGACTCTTAACACAGGGAAGGCAAAATCTGGAGTATTGTTTTACCGTGAACACAAGTCAACAATAGGTTCTTGACAGATGGTAGGGGTAAGCCTAGCCAGTGAAATATCTAAGAAAAAAAAACCCTAATTCCTACAAAATGAACCAACCGCATTACTGGTGTTTACAACATTAATTTCTCCAATTTTAATCTAATCTAAATACCTCAATGAACTTCCTTGCAGCTTATTCTTTTTAATCGGCACAGTAGACGATGAATCGCGTTCTCACCAAACCCATTTGATTGGGTAAAATCACCGAGCTAAAAATATAGAATCTATATTTAGCATCATTTTAAGTGTCTTTATGGAGAACCAGCTCAACCAAAAATAAAGTATCCATAGTAAAAATATTATGATTAAAATTAAACTACAAAATCAATGGTAGCTCGAGTTTCTGATCTATAAATTTCATTCTAAGTAGCAAAGTCCGATTATTTTTCTAAACAATGGCAATATGGCTATTAAAACATTTGAAGGTCCACCTTGCCTCTATACCTACCATTACTTTTACAGTAATTATTTTAAATAAAAGGTTAAAAAAAACCTCGAGTTTCTTGGTGGATACGCACGTTACATCATCAAGTCCCCGAGACATGAATGCGTTTCTAACTAATACCTAAGATCGAAAAACACCAAGAGAACATTCCAGTAATTTTCGATCTTCCAAAAGGACAACTTGTCTGAACCACGACATGTTATATGAATAGCTAAAAATTTCAAGTCCTTTAAAACAGTCCACCACTTTAACATTTAAAATCGTGTATGGTTTGCAGATCCTATTTTAAGTAACAATAATAATAATTTATTTATCATTCTATACAGCTAAAATCATATAATATTATGTTGGAAAAATAAAAATGATTTCTGGCCTTAATTGACCTACGACACACGACTACTTGAAACATATTTAATTCTTTTAGTTCAATAAAATATAGTTTTCACTTAAAACTTAAACTTCAACGCATATTATATTCTAACGTTTTGTTTGTTTGTTTGGGTTACATAAAAAATTTCAGAGACTGCCTTCGGTTCATCATCTTAAACAAGTAATTTCCCAGGCTTTAATTGTTTCTGTGTGTTTGCGTTACAATACACCATAATTATTGGATACGGTTCTTATTAATCTACCAACGTTAAAGCTCCTAGGATGAATGTTTTATAAATATTTTTATTTATATACATATAAGGTATAAATTGTCTTTATAATTAGAAACCTGATCTAATATTTTTAATTCTGAATACTAATTATATAACCCCATAAAATCCGCTTTACATTAATCAGTAGAATGCCACGTATAGCCTAAAAATCATTTCACCCCTGAAAAGAATGTCTTTGTATCTTCTCAGTGTCGTTTATTCAGTGTATAAAACTGGATCGCCCATCGTATTTTGTTCAGTGTCCTAAAATTTAAATCTTTTTTGTTTCTTTAAATGTTGCCAATTGTCCCCCTTTCTTTCGACTTAAACCCAACCTGGAGTCGATCGATCTATATATCCTCAACCCATTTTTTCTTTATAACATGATTATAAATTTTCTTAAATAACCGGGGACATGTTGTAGTAATATCATATTCATAAGTAAACGCTATATCCAATTTGATAACTTAATTATTAATATAAATACTCTGGAAGAGAATACGCGAAACTGGGTGTACGTGGCCAATTTTCCCCATTGACTTTACTTTATATCGACATCGTTCATTCTCGTCTCTTTGACCGGCACTAACCTTTCCCCATATTTTCGTTGTGTTGAACGCTTTCTACCACTGATAAAGAAAAACACGTGGCAACCCCTTGCCTTGATAAAAAATACACGTATGAGGTTCACAAATAGTAAATTAAAATTAAATTAAAAACATTTATGGATATACTAATTCTGAATTTATTAACATGCTTGATAACGATTGTATCGAAACGTAGCATGTTAATAAATTCAGAAGTAGTATAGCCATATATAAGTGTTTTCAATTTGTGAAATATATTTCTATAGGCCTATCCTATGTCTTATAAGGATTAGGCCTATCCTATGTCTTATAAGGATTATAGCATAATAGTACATATATCAGCTCGGTTCGACCTGCATTTCAACGTAACCAACCTCATAACTCTCTTATCCTTCCGCCTATAAATCATGAATATCAACCAAAACCTTGCAGGAAATGTGTATTCAAACCTTTTCCTTCGAGTCTATACCAAAAAGTCAACAACAATCGCTGTGCAAAAGGGGCAAAAGGGAGAGACAGACTATTAACAGCTCTTGCACTACATTCGTAGGTAACCAAAGTAGTACTTCAAGTATCAGCAAAGGGCACATACATATTTTTCATTTGCTTCCCATGTTTTATATGAATCAAGTGGTTCGGTAGTGTAGTGGTTATCACGCTCGCCTCACACGCGAGAGGTCCTGGGTTCGACCCCCAGCCGAACCAAACGTTTTAAGTGGGGAGGCGGTAAATGAGATTGGCCGAGTGGATTAATCCCGCTGTAACAACATGCCGGAGAGATGACGAAAGCGGCGGAGCGTTACCGGTAGTCGCGGCTTATCAAAACATGTGGCTTCTTTGGACTTGTCGAAAGCTGCCGTGAAGGATGAAGATGGTGTCTTTTTGTTTTGGGCAGTGTGACACCTAATCTGGAATAGAAACGGGCAGGGTTTCGTGGTGTAGTGGTTATCACGTCTGCTTAACACGCAGAAGGTCGCGAGTTCGAGCCTCGCCGAAACCTTGGAATTTTTGTTTCCCCGGTCCAAGAGAAGCCATATAAACTTAATTGTCAGTCCAGAAAGCTAGTCTGTCGGTTCTGTGGTGTAGTGGTTATCACGTCTGCTTTACACGCAGAAGGCCGCGAGTTCGAGCCTCGCCAGAACCTGTCATTTTGGTAGCCGACGCATCGTGCTGCAGTTGAAACCGCGTGCAATCACAGAGTGGTTATGGCCGACTGCCGGCGAATTTCAGCTGCATTGGAAGGCCGCATCAGCGGGCAAACCCGCCTGCTCGGTTTGGTGGCGAGTTCCGTCTCCCCCCCCCCTCCTTTTTCTCTTTCTGGTGGCAGCGCGAAAATGGCTTCAGCCCTGCATCTAAAAGGGAGAATCAAGGGGTTCGGTAGTGTAGTGGTTATCACGCTCGCCTCACACGCGAGAGGTCCTGGGTTCGACCCCCAGCCGAACCAAACGTTTTAAGTGGGGAGGCGGTAAATGAGATTGGCCGAGTGGATTAATCCCGCTGTAACAACATGCCGGAGAGATGACGAAAGCGGCGGAGCGTTACCGGTAGTCGCGGCTTATCAAAACATGTGGCTTCTTTGGACTTGTCGAAAGCTGCCGTGAAGGATGAAGATGGTGTCTTTTTGTTTTGGGCAGTGTGACACCTAATCTGGAATAGAAACGGGCAGGGTTTCGTGGTGTAGTGGTTATCACGTCTGCTTAACACGCAGAAGGTCGCGAGTTCGAGCCTCGCCGAAACCTTGGAATTTTTGTTTCCCCGGTCCAAGAGAAGCCATATAAACTTAATTGTCAGTCCAGAAAGCTAGTCTGTCGGTTCTGTGGTGTAGTGGTTATCACGTCTGCTTTACACGCAGAAGGCCGCGAGTTCGAGCCTCGCCAGAACCTGTCATTTTGGTAGCCGACGCATCGTGCTGCAGTTGAAACCGCGTGCAATCACAGAGTGGTTATGGCCGACTGCCGGCGAATTTCAGCTGCATTGGAAGGCCGCATCAGCGGGCAAACCCGCCTGCTCGGTTTGGTGGCGAGTTCCGTCTCCCCCCCCCCCTCCTTTTTCTCTTTCTGGTGGCAGCGCGAAAATGGCTTCAGCCCTGCATCTAAAAGGGAGAATCAAGGGGTTCGGTAGTGTAGTGGTTATCACGCTCGCCTCACACGCGAGAGGTCCTGGGTTCGACCCCCAGCCGAACCAAACGTTTTAAGTGGGGAGGCGGTAAATGAGATTGGCCGAGTGGATTAATCCCGCTGTAACAACATGCCGGAGAGATGACGAAAGCGGCGGAGCGTTACCGGTAGTCGCGGCTTATCAAAACATGTGGCTTCTTTGGACTTGTCGAAAGCTGCCGTGAAGGATGAAGATGGTGTCTTTTTGTTTTGGGCAGTGTGACACCTAATCTGGAATAGAAACGGGCAGGGTTTCGTGGTGTAGTGGTTATCACGTCTGCTTAACACGCAGAAGGTCGCGAGTTCGAGCCTCGCCGAAACCTTGGAATTTTTGTTTCCCCGGTCCAAGAGAAGCCATATAAACTTAATTGTCAGTCCAGAAAGCTAGTCTGTCGGTTCTGTGGTGTAGTGGTTATCACGTCTGCTTTACACGCAGAAGGCCGCGAGTTCGAGCCTCGCCAGAACCTGTCATTTTGGTAGCCGACGCATCGTGCTGCAGTTGAAACCGCGTGCAATCACAGAGTGGTTATGGCCGACTGCCGGCGAATTTCAGCTGCATTGGAAGGCCGCATCAGCGGGCAAACCCGCCTGCTCGGTTTGGTGGCGAGTTCCGTCTCCCCCCCCCCTCCTTTTTCTCTTTCTGGTGGCAGCGCGAAAATGGCTTCAGCCCTGCATCTAAAAGGGAGAATCAAGGGGTTCGGTAGTGTAGTGGTTATCACGCTCGCCTCACACGCGAGAGGTCCTGGGTTCGACCCCCAGCCGAACCAAACGTTTTAAGTGGGGAGGCGGTAAATGAGATTGGCCGAGTGGATTAATCCCGCTGTAACAACATGCCGGAGAGATGACGAAAGCGGCGGAGCGTTACCGGTAGTCGCGGCTTATCAAAACATGTGGCTTCTTTGGACTTGTCGAAAGCTGCCGTGAAGGATGAAGATGGTGTCTTTTTGTTTTGGGCAGTGTGACACCTAATCTGGAATAGAAACGGGCAGGGTTTCGTGGTGTAGTGGTTATCACGTCTGCTTAACACGCAGAAGGTCGCGAGTTCGAGCCTCGCCGAAACCTTGGAATTTTTGTTTCCCCGGTCCAAGAGAAGCCATAT